GCTGCTGCTGCTATCATAACCTACGTTGAGTAAAACAGCAATTAGGCCGCACACTGAGGCCTATTGTCAGTCATGCGTGTTCAGGTGGAGCTCGGCAAGGCAGCTTTTGAACTCCTCTTGGACAGCAGCTATACGGACAATGAACTTGTCAATTTTATTACATATTTCTGCCCACCGCTTTCCGGGCAAACAGCCCCCCCTCCCCCGATCTTCTAATTCTACATTCGTGCTTCACGCCCTATACATAGATTAGTTCTGTTGAATATTTTCTATGGATCGTATGGAGGTTTGATTGATTTGACGCTTACTGCAGAAAATTACAAAAGTCTCACATTCGGCCGGTGGGTACCATCTGACCGAGATGTATGTAACTCTTGTATTCGATATGAGTATATCGTTACTGAATCCGTGAAACTTGTCTGATGAATAATAAGCTACATTTGATTGTTTTAATATAAACATTTTATTAGACTACAAGTCTAATAAAATTTGCGGGTAGCACAGGGTGACAAATGTTTTTAGATGTTTGTCGCGTTTCGTCTCGGCTGATGTCTAGCTTGCCACTGAGGCCAAAGCGTGAGTTTCTATCCCAACGAGAGAAACTACAAGAAAATTATGTCTGGCATGCACAACACTGTGGGATTAGAAGACTTACCGAATGAAACGGTGCAGCGTGAAAAGGCTCCAAAATTTGGTCAATTCTTTGGATCCATAAGTGACACGATACCGATTCAGCGTGAGATACACCGATAGAAGACCACTGTGGTAGGAGATTGGGATAAGTTCAAAACACCAAAACGGGGGTGTTCAATTATTAGATGTATGTATATGTGTGCAACGTACTGCATGGTCGGTCATATCGAGAAACTATGTAGATAGTTTGCTAAATCCACTCACGTTCTGGATTCAATGGCGTACGAGGAACGTAATCGTTTGTAGTCATTCGTGGAATCCGTGGTGAGGAAACAAATCGAACGAAAGCGCACTATTTTACGAAAGCGATTAGATCCTGCGAAACCCATCAGTGAGTTTCTAACCAATCCTGAAAGATATGTGCATTATTTTTTCTCTCTATTAAGTTAGACAAAGTTTTGGTCGCAGTTCTGTCTCTAGAACTTCCATTGTTTTATCTCATCGGGAGAACTAAATAACTGAATCTAAAAATAGAGTTCGAAAACCGTTTCTCACAACTGTCAGATCTATCATCTTCTTCATCGCAAAATGTAGCTCAGTTGAAATCCACAGTACAGTGAACACATGCTATCATCTTCTCGATAGCAAACCGGTGATCGAAAATCTAGTGAGACCACAACACCGAGAACGGTTAAAGGCACTGAGGAACAATCGTGAGGTCATTCTGTGCGAACCAGACAAGGGTACAGTTGTCCTATTGAACAGATCAAATCACCTGTCCAAGATGAATAACATACTCAGTGATAACACAAAGTTCAAGAGGAAGAAAAAGATAAAACTGAACAAATAGAACAGAAACTGACAAAAATAATCGGTGTTCTAAAGCAAAACCGTGTTGTAGACGCACACACGTTTGAACTAATTCGATCGATTGGAACCGCAATCCCAAGGTTGTTTGGTTTACTCAACGTGCACAAAGATGGAATATTCCTCAGGCCGATTTTAGACATATCATGTGATAACCAAGTGGCTCTTTAATATTTCCTTAGAATTTTGTCCCTATCGGTAAGAACCAGTGTCAGGTAACCATTGATATCGTTTTCTTGTACAGATTAATGCCTAGGTATAATACAAAATATGAAACTGGTGGATGCATGGAACATGGGTAGCGGTTAATAGTATCGGGAGTGTGATAAAGATTGTCATAATTTGATTATGACTGGCGCTTCTAGCAAGACAACCTTGCCTGTGTACAAAGCAAACCGGGCTAAGTTACATTTGTTTGATATAAATCACAAAACAACACCTAAGTGTGAAGTTCATTAGAGGGGGCGAACCCCCGTAGTCACGAGGACCTGCTGCTCAGTGGTGGAAACCGGCAACCTAAGCCCCAGGACTTAGAGTGACGCGCTAGGTTAGGCGTCGTATTGAACCGGACGACAGCAGTGCTGCCTACCACCAAAGTCGGGTAGCGGTGGCGGGGCTCGAACTTCGAACCATAGGGTCCATAGCACACCGGTGACAGCGACTAAACCATTGCTCCACCACCACCCACGTTTGGTTTGGGTGGTGACAGAGAGACGGCAGTCGATTGCTGAGAAAAGCGGAACACAAATTGAAATATGTCGGGACTAAGATGAAACAGACTTACGACATGAAGAAAAACGTGTCCACAGACAGGGTCCCGCTGACGAGAATCATGAAACTGGGTAATTTGAACATCTCTTCAAAAACAACGAGTAGATTATCTGCTCAGAGAAGGGAATTAGAGAACAGAAAGTGTCAATAGTTTTCCGGTAATAGTTGCACGAAACATAACTTGAATTCAAATGCGATGAAAGTGTTTGTAATGACCGATGAAGAGTACTGGAGAGCTGTTTCATTCTGTTTGGGACTCGTCAGCAGTGCGTACTTATTGTGTCCCTGTCAGGACTCGAATCGCAAACATTCGGGCCGGGACTTCAAACCCTTACTTTTGAGCTACACGGTCGACGGTTATCACCTTGTGCGAATAGACCAATCAATTTAGAGTATCAAGCTTGGGTTAGCCCATTCGATTGTTCAAAGGCTCCAGGCCTTCTTGATGGTCTTGGATGGGGGTTTTACTCTTTGCGGTTTGTTAATTGCGCACCAGCTGAATGTGTTTAAATGCGATGAAAACGTTTGTAGCTCAGGATTATGGTTTTGAAGTCCTGACTAGGATGTTTGCGGTTAGAGTCCTGACAAGGACATAAAAGGTAAGCACTGCTCGCGTGTCCCAAACATAACGAAACAGCTGTCCAGGGCTATTTATCGATTATCCCAAACATTTCCATCGCATTTGAATGCATTCAACTAGTGGGGAATTAACGAACCGCAAAGAGTAAAACCCCCATCCAAAACCATAAAGAATGCCTGATGTCTCTGAACAATCGAACGAGTTAATACAAGCTTGATACTCCAAAATAATTTGAATAGTTTGAATTGAAAACACTTAACACGTTCAAAATGGAAGTAAGGAATCGAAAACTATTGCATGTACCAAATGCCCAATCGTATTTTTGACTTATAAAAATTGGATAAACACTTGTGTCATTTCTACCGAATGAACAAAACAACAAAAGATTTACTAGAAAATGTTAGCTGTCTGGCAAAAGTTTGGGTGAACTAAAACAAACATGACTTGTTTTTAGTTTTCACTTCGATTTTTTTCCCGCTGTGGAAAAATGAATTACGTCAAGTAATTGACAACAAGTCGTCACTGTAAAAGTGTGTACGAGTCTAGCTCAGCATAGAAACATCTCTCGAAGTATTGTACGCATGCACAATCAATTCATACTTTTGACGACCGCACGGTAACTTTGAAGTGTGTGGGGGGAGGATGGTTTAGTTCCCTAAGGGTATCTCTGTGGTTTTTTGGTTGCATGTGACAATCAGTTGTGGTCCATGGCTCGGAGCGATCGCTCCTTCTGGTTAATAATCACCACAGTCTGGTTTATTTACTGCTCTACCGGTTGAGTATAAAGCTGAGATGCATGAAAAAAATTTCAATGAGAAAGTACTTAGTGGTACAAATACAATGAAGTTGGATTTGAAACGCTGAAAAGATTAAACTCGGCTCAGCAGGCACGGTCATTTGCGATTTAAGGCGTTCATTCAGGTTGCCAATCACTGATGAATGGAATATTTTTTATCAGTTTTAGGAGTAGTTTGAAGCTAAAGTTGAACCAGGAATAAATAAATAAAGTATGGAATCTGTATATGGTTCAAAGTAAGTTCAGGCGACCAGTATGGTAGCCATATTTGAGAATCATGGGTTTGACTGATCCGAATCGAAAGAACGAATACCAGACGGATTTTACGATTCATATGTGTTATCTGAGGCGCGGTAGAAGGGATGAAAGAATCAATCTTGCGGTTAGCTAGTTCATTTGAATTTTATGGTTACCGAATCACTATGGTCCAATTGATACCACTGCAGTCTGTTTCAGTGATCGGATTGTTTGACCTTAGTGTAGGTGGGACAAAAATTTAGTTAATTGAAGTAATGACAATTTGATGGATCTTTGCCAAACACTCTAAAGTAATAAGCATCAGAAAGTGTTCTCTTCGTGCCAAACACTGGTCTGAAATAAAACAGAATGTTAAGAGACTTGAAGTGTTTTATTTCATCAATTCAATCAGGTGGATCTGGTCCGAAGGTGGCAAAACCCGACTGCCATACACAGCAGAGTCAATAGCAATCAGATCGCACAAATTCAATCGAAACCGGTCTAATAATCTCGTTGAAAATTTGCATTTCATGTAACACAAGTAACCCAGTCGGAGTTTGAACGTTCACGTCCCGAATCCGAGTTATCAACACCTCGGGCACGCGTTTGCTGGCTTTTGAATTCGCAAGGCTATCTGACTGAATTGGTCCATTCTATTTCACAGAAACCACTACCTGTGTAGAGTGCTACCCCAAAATGTGTATGGGCTTCACATTTCATTTATTCGTTCACCTCCCCCCCGGGGGGGGGGNGAACGCTATTTGTTATTGATGGGAATTTTTCGTGTTCTGTCCGATAAAAAGATTTGTCGATAGTCATGTCGCTTCTCCTGGGATTCCTTGGAGGTGAATACAATTTCCGTATCTCTATCAGTACTCAAACCACGATTATCTTGGTCGAGAAGTGAAACCCTTGCGGCCCCAGCCATACAGTCAGCGGCTAATACAATGGACCAACAATGGCAATAGCAATTTAAAAATTTATGCTCAAACTAACCTGGTAACTTTCAGCGACACTGAATCAGTGCTTTCTGTGACATTTTCTGCTTTCGATTCACGGTTCGAGTCTCGGCGTATAACAATGGGAAGGGCATTAAACCGAAATTAATTGTTTCACAACTACCATAGTTTAGGTCATGGCCGTACGGTAAAGACTTTTGAAAAGTGTGCAGCAGCAACAGAAACATATTTTGTTTAACATGAGTTTGTTTTATTCTAATCAACTCTCCTAAACAATTGTACTCAAGCCCACAGCAAAAATGATCAGGAGTAAAATTGACTTACTAGCCGACGAGGCATAGAACAAGAACATGTGACCAAAAATGATCCACACCATGGTAATCACTCGAATCCCGTCCAAACAGGTCAACGGATGCTCCCGTTCAATCCCGTTCGATCCGATCACAGTCGGACTGCGCGCAGTGAGCAGTTTCCACAAATTGTAGGGGACCGAATAAGCACATAGTATCGTTATAATTGAGGACGACTCCAATTCGGCTATCGTGTGCGTGTGATTGTAGCGGTTGTAGCCAAGCACGGAGTGGTAAGCAGGAAGGACGGAAACAGGGGAACATACATCAGGATTATTGGTGAATTTGGCAGTTTTGTTTTTATTTTTCAATACATACCTCGAAAAACTGAACACTGTGTGCATGTGGTTGGGGGTGGGTGTGGAATCCTACGGTAAACAGGGCCGACTTATCAGTGATAGGACTTGATGTTGCGTACTATAGGTAGAGCTTCAACATGATAGAATATGTGATGCTGAATGAAACGCCAATAAAGCCATTCATCATCAATCGGTCCATATAATCCGGCTACGGAATCGCGACTGGGTCATCGTCTGCATCAGACCTGTCACCAACCATCGTTGGATGGAAGAGGCAGGGTTTGAACCTGGTACCTCGAGGCCCGGAAAACGTCAGTGATAGCGCATTAATCTGCACAACTGCCCATCACCCATCTGCGATAACCCAATATTGTGCAAGCTGCCAATAGACGATTGAATGTTTAAAGACACCAGTCGTGAAATATTCTAGACCCTCATGTTCGTTTAACACACACTTTCGATTTGATAGAACCCGTAGGGAACCGAGAAATTAGTTCCATGTTCTTTTACTAACTGATTTCGGAACCACATTGTTCCACTAAAGTCAAATACTTCTGTAAAAGCATGTTCAGTGATCAGATGCCGACAATCTTATTTTTCGTATCCAAGGAACTAACTAGCAAAACCGAACAGGAATCTGTGATACACATGCGCTCCAAACCCTCGCCAGCTTACTTCGGGACTCAGTTTCAGCTTCGGTTTTTAGAACCATTAACCGGTTTTGGTTGCTGTCTCATGACTGCCCATTTGGATGAAAGAACAGAGTAAGATTGGATTGTTGTGAGCAGAGTCAAAGAGAAGATAGAGAAATCACATGGACTAAAGTTGCACGGACAATGATAGATGCACGAGCGCCACTGCTTGTGACACTCATCTATATCAGTGTATCTTACCACCGCTAACGAAGATCCCGGTGTCCTCATCAATGTAGCCTAGTCTGACCTATGTGAGTAAGGCTCCTGGTCAGTTTTTATACCTTCATACTAGGTTTGAGTTTAACCCACGTTGACCTTTTTCCATTTCGGGACCACGAGAAGCTCCAATCAATCACAGCTGGTCAAGCAACGTCTCCGTGCTGCAAAGCATTTAATGAAGTTTGTCGATCGCGTGTGATGTGCAATTAATTGTCACGGTGGGAAAAGTACTGAATCCCTAAAATATTTGACGGATAAGATAACCACCTCAGTGCTTTTGACGGAAGGCACACACACACAAATATCGTACCGCGTGGCCGACATCAGGGAATGATTACTCACTGGAACACGCCATACATCGGATATCCGTTGCTCCTCATTCTCTTAGGCAATATCAATCATTTCATTGGAAGAGGACTGTATGAATAAAACACAAGTTCAATCAGTGGACAAAAAACAATTTCGATCGGATCAGAATGTCTGACTGAATTCTGATCGATGCAAATACTTCTCTCTCTCTCTTCCGCTAGCAATCAACAACCCAATTCGCTTCGGTTTGATCGGTGAGCATTTTTCCTTACAATATGTAGTGAATCGTACAATAAAACGACTGAACTTCACGAATATCAGTGTCCATATCTCAACTATCGGAACCCTGGTGATTTTATTCAAACTAATTGGAGAAGGAAATTACCTTAGGCTAGACCTAGGACAAAGCTAGACAAAGCAGTAAAGCAATTTAACTTCTTTTCGTACACCCTCATCGGTCGCCCAAGTATAACATTGTACAAGATAGACAAATGAAGTGAATCCAGAAATTTAGTAAGGTTTTAGTGTGTGTGTGTGTGTGCGCGTGTGTGTGTGTGTGTGTATTTATATCAGTGTATTTGTGTGTGATGCACATGACTGGTTACAGCTAGGAAAGGCCAAGGGTAAAGTTTATACGGTTTTGGACACACAATATGGACTTATTGTGAGCGATCGATAATGCCTCGAGTATCCTAATTCGGTGTTTGTCTCGATGACGTAACAAAATCGAGAACGCGTTCGAAAGGTCGACCTTGTGACAGCTTTTTTGATTTTTTGATTCACTTCATTTTTCTATCTTGTTCAATGTGATACGTACGCAACCGATGAGAGTATACGAAAAGAATTCCTCTCACAATGTTTATCTTCTGACTTGCCTGTTCGAATTCATTACTGGTTCAAAATATGTTTCAATTAAACTTCTGTAGTAGCCACTCTTGAGGGTTAGAGAAAGGCAATGACAACGAAATCAACCACTTCATCATCATCATCACCGCCAACAACAACAGCAACCAAACTATGTATTTTGATAGAGAATAGTTTGAAAGTTACACAACAGTGGGATCCAAATGTGCATAGCCTAAAAACAAACACATGCACTCACCTGCACGATATTGCAAATAATCCATGTAGACTATAACAGGATACGCCTCTTGGATTTGGTTTTCTACCAATGCTTGGTCTCCCATTTTCACATGGACAGATAATTCATCTACATCTTCCTTGGCTCCCGCATCCAAACTAGACGGAGATGCAACTTCTGAGTGTTTGACTATTTTGTATATCCACCAACGAATATACAAGGTCAATTCGGTCAGCGAACCAAGACACACAAGACACAGGACGAAAGCAAAAAGGACCCTAGCAGAATGGGCGAGAAATTGAGGATGAAAACAAGTCAACTGGGAGTGTGTACCAGTTTTATGAGCAAGTCAAACAAAAAACCCGCACAGGGGTTTGAACAGCTAATTAGTGTTATTTTTTGCGAACAATAGGGATTCGTCAATAACGGTATGCTTGTTACTCTGGACAGAAATGACACGGACCATGTTCCTATCCCTAATCGGAAGCGTGAGCAGCAGAGCTTTGGACCAGACCAAACACAGTTCATGGTCACTCTGATTGATGCACGTACTAATCAGGTGATTTCAAATGCCTGATTTCAGTATATATGGCTCTGCAATAACAACAATTATACGACTACAGGTAGATCCATCTGTACTGCAGTTTGATGAAGAAACACAGTACCTGATGAACAATCCCCTGAGAAGCTTGGATGATAACGAAGCGTAAACTGTCCATTTGTTCAACATCGATTGTCTTCGGGCGGAACAATTTGAGCGTCTTATTCCTTTTCATAAAATTTGCCTTCATTGTGCACAATCAACAAAGCAGATAGGTTGTTTAGGTAGAGTGTATTACTACCAAATCTAACGGGATCCTAATCCGGACACAAGTATTTGTGTATCTGATGTGCTAGCCAGTTGCATTTCCAAGATAACATCCAGAGACCTGCTAAAGCTTCACCTACCTGTTTGACACCTCCAAAAAGATGCTAACAGATTCTTTTTGTAGCGGAATCAATTTGAAATATTTGCAAGTCTGAAGGTATTAGATGGTCTGTTTATATCTAATCCTTGATTCTTTGACTCGCCTGTTCGCCGAGCATGGCAATTTGTTAGCAAACGTTTCATCACCAGCTGAGATGACACCATCAGAGCTTGTGAAGTGGCAGTGTTCTGCTTGTACCCGTTCGTGTATGTGTTCTTCTCCACCGACTATTTTTGTCCCTTGTTCTCACTGTGTGCCATTCGGTTCGCCGTTGAACTGCTGCGAGGGGGAATTGATAACTGTGAACCCACTTAATCAACCAATGAAACCAGTTGCAATTTGTGAACTCACGAACTCAAGCATGCAGACGTACTTCAAATTCGAGGGTGAAATCTATGAACAGCGAAAAGGAACAATAATGGGATCACCGATTTCTGGATTCATAGCCGAAGCCGTAATGCAAAAACTGGAGAAGGAGGTACTACCAAGGATCATGCCAAAACTTTGGCTCCGATACGTCGTCATCTTGAAGAATTCGGAACTGGGAGAAACACACAACATCATCAACAACATTCAATAGCATCAGGTTCACAATGGAGACAGAGAAGGATAAACAACTGGCCTTTTTGGACATCTTGATCATCAGAACGCCATCAG